GCAGAATGGATACTGGGTTGGACATTGTATGATGTTAAATTACAAGTGGTTTTTGTAATGTTAATATTTCCATTAATGATGAACATTATACAATTTTGGCTTGTGGATCAAGTTATTAAAAAGAAAATCGAAATTGATGGTGGTGTTGGCATTAGATTAGGAAGGGGAGGGACACATCATCATCATCATCATCATAATCATTTTGTTGTTGGTGATGATGATGATGATGATGATGATGATGATGATGATGATTCAATTAGAAATGAAGATGAAGTTTTCTTAAATATCGATTCAACAGATGATGATGAGGATGATGCTATTATTAATGATGGAAAAGAAATGAATTATAATGAAAGTTTACCAATTCATAGCATTGATGATAATAATAATGACATTTCAAGAGAATCTTTTTCTATGAATGATATTAACAACAATAACAAGGATAATATTATTATTGATAATGATAATTCAACCAACACTGATGAAATTTATACTCCTTTACATAAAAATTCCCCTTCATCATCATCACCAAGGAAAAAACTTTAAAATTTCATTGAATAAATGGATGGATGGATAAGGACATATAATGAATACACACATAGATTTATATTCTTTCCTTGTAACATATACTTTCAATTCTCTCTTTCTGAAAACATTATTAGATATATAGAACTTGCATGGTAATTTTTCAATTCGACATATTTTCTCTTTTTTAAAATTAAGAATTTATTAAAAACCATTTTTTTATAAATAAAAAAAAAATAATTTGTTATTTATAGTATATACTGTATAATAATAATAAGAAACTATTTAATTTAAATTCTTAAATTTTTTTTTACATAATTATAATAATTCAAATAAAATATGTTCGCCATATGGTTTATCCCAACCATCAATGCCACATAGTGACAATTCAGGAACGATAATGGAATATATGGTGTTCTAATTCCCTAAAATTACCAAATCTATTTTAAAAAAAATAAACTCAAAGTAACTTTATGAAAAAAGATCTAGTGTTTGGTTTGTTGACTGGAACTTTACATTATTTATTAATATAATACAGTAATAGAAAAAAATCTATTTGAATATATTAATTAATTTAATGCTTCCTATTGTCAATTGGTACATTTACAATAAAGTAAAAGTACACCGAACCATGAGAGAAAAATTTTTTTGGCTGATCAATTTTATATATTTACAAAAAATTCGTGCAACATTGATTTTTTCAAGATTTGCTGATCGCTATTTTGTTTTAAAGAACCTATCGAATACTGCTAATAATTCAATTTCATAGTACGGGGGGTTTTTTTTGCGTATAAAGCATACAAAATAGATGCAGAATTTATGACACACTAATACTAAAGTGTTTTTGTTCCCAAAACATACAGAATAGGTACGGAATGTATATACTGGATGGTACGTCAAGTTAGCTGGCTAAGGAATTTTTAAACAGTCTAGCCGGCCAAAAAAAAAATTTCTCTTAACATTCATTCTTACATCTGGAATTTTGGTGTAGAATTCAACGGTATAGACATTTAGTTGAGATTGGTACACCTGCATTACTTGGAATGACAAAAAAACATACATTTGCTCAAACAACAAAATATAATATATCATAGAAGGATAAAAGTCATAGTTTCTATTCGTAATACAAATTCTTATTTTAATTCGAATTATTATTATTCGTCTTATTTGAATCATTCACCATATTTGAATCATTCGTCATATTTGAATCATTCGTCATATTTGAATTATTTGTTTTTATTCGGATTATTCATCATATTCGTTTTACTCGTTTATTCGAATGTAATTCAAATATTCAAATTCATAACGAATAAAACAATAATCTTTATTCAAACCATTAAAGGCGAGATATTATAATAACAATAGTAAATTACAGTAATAATAACGATAGTAGTAGTAGTAGTAATAATACAGGCAAGCTTAGTACCATCTGAAAAGATTTTTCATCAACTGTGGTTTATTTAAGCTCTTAGCCGGCTAATATCATTACAAATTACTAGATTTATTTGTATGCAAATATTGTCAAAAAATCACATATTGTTATTATGCAGACTTTAAGGATCATCATCAATTTAAAATCTCAACAATCTATGACCTAAATTAGCTCATATAATTAATTAAATTAATTCACGGGATTTTAATGGGAAATGCGGGAGCATGTTTACTAATTAAAAAAAAATAAATGACCGTGTTTGTAAAATTGGTATACAACATATAAAATTTATTTTTCACTAAATTTTATTCATAACGATAGAAAAAATGTCAAAAAACATGAAAATAAATAAAAATTGTATTTTATTATACTCGATAAAAAAAAGCTATGTAAGTAGTCAATATTGAGAAGGTTTTTTTTGATATTTTATATGGTAAAGCATTATTTTTTTGTATTGATGTGGCCTACGAACCACAAGATAATAATTTATAAAAATTTTTTTGTTTGTTATAGAAGTAGTTGCCATTATTTTTGAAAATAAAAAAAAATCATATATTCCGTGAATTTAATAAAAATTTTTGATCGACATACATTTTATATATAAAAACCCCTTCTCAATACATAACTTTTTTTTATCGAGTATAATAAAATACAATTTTTATTTTATTTTCATGTTTTTTGACATTTTTTCTATCTTTATGAATAAAATTTAGTGAAAAATAAATTTTATATGTTGTATACCGATTTTAGAAACACGGTCTTAATTAGTAAACGTGCCCCACATTTTCTATTAAAATCACCTGGTTGATAAACGATCTGCGAACTAATCGTTTGATTTATAATGTTGACGGCCACATTCAATAGAGTTTCCCCAGTCCTCATCGCACACTATCTCTATAATAATAACTGATGGATCTTGCTCTATAACGTACTGAGAGTTTAAGCCCAATTTATATAAATCACTACTGTATATAACAGATTCTCTCTAACAGACATTTTTTCACAATAATAAGCCAAGCGGGCCGTTATAGAGAATGTGAACTTTACACTACAACAAACTACACAATTACACTCTTATATTAAAAAAAAACACGAGTGTTGTGAATATTTAATCATAATAAAAACATATATCATGTGTTTTATACCCAATCATTCGTGAGAGTTTTCGTTTTTTAAAGGTGTTTTCTCAATAACCTACATAATAAATGTTGTTTTTTTTTGATTCCCAATGAAGAGAAGAACCTTGGAACATATATTCATAAATCTGATTTTAGATTTTTTTTATAAATAAAAATGTATATGATTGACAAAATTTTTTAAATTCTTTATTATGTAATACAAGCCTTTGCCTTATAGAGGTTGACAATCGGGTGGAAGAATGAAACATTAAACAAAATGTATTGTTCGCCACTTTTTGGGATAATGAAATCCGAAGCCTTTTGTTAAGTTGATAACAACAATAATGATAACAGACGAATTGGGAACCCAAAGAGTGAAAATGTAAACTTGGCTTGGATTTATTTTGTATAAAATGATTTTTATGCGTGTAAAATAATAAAGTAAATAATTTTTATGCAATACATTTATTTTATTTAATTTTGGATGAAGCAGGTAAATTACTTGAAATTGGATTTATAAACTAAAAATAAAACAAATAAATATACAACAAAAAAGTACAAAGATATGACGATTGTGAGAAACTATTATTACCTTTATCACCATAACTAATTATCTATAATACAACTATAGTAGCCAAATAAATAAAATAAAATAACAAACAAAGAATAACTTGATAAAGATTTATGTCACCAATTATATGATGCTAATTGATTGGCTATTACGAATAGATTTACATATTATCGAATAATTTATAAGTTAACTTATGATTAAAACTTATCACCAAAAGTCATTTTACAAGTATGTCGAATTCCAAGTTTCTTAAGTAGCAATTTCATTGAGATCTAGCACTCTAATTACTATTCAGCAATTAAATACTATCCTGCACTTTAATTCCGATCGGGCAATTTAATTCCGAAATAACCTTCTAAATGCAATATAACCTTCTAAACGTGATATAGCACTTTAATTGCGAATTTACGTTAATTTCTACAACAATGTAAATTACAAGATATTTTGTCGCGAGTTTCCTGTTGCCAAAATTAAACATATTAGGAAATTTGGGGTCGCTAATACAAGAATTTATTATTATTATAACTGGCGAAAAAAATTGGATCCTGTTTGCATAGTAGAAAAACGTGATACAAGGGTCTGGAATATTTTCTTCATATCTGTAACCGAATTTATAAGAGTTGTTTTACTAAAAATAAATTTTTTTATCTGCTAGTTCTTCTAATACAAACCCCATTTTAGTATGCTTGTGTAATAAATCACAAATCAAAAATTTTAAACATTATTAAGAATGGGAAAAGGTGGAGAGTTCCTTTTTATTGTTTTTTGGTAAATTTGCGTCAAATTTTTATAATAATTCAATCACGGTAACACATGAATTGAAAAATTTGCACGTATAAAAATACACGTATTAAACGGTTAACTTTTGTATTTTTCAGATCCAACAAAAAATATTTTTTCAAAAAAAAAAATATATTTTACTTCTAAAATATCATTAATTATTTTCTAGAAACATAGTAGGTCTACTGCACATCCGCTTTATCTACCATTCTATTATTCTACTTATTATTTCGTTCATAAATTATGTCACCAACCTTACCGCCAGGGAGAAAAGAAGAGGTATGTATTATATAATTCATTAAAATTATTTCATCACTTTATGTTGAAAAGTTTATTCTAAGATTTTCACAAAATTTTTTTCTACTAATATTAGACTGACGCAAGTAACAAAACCTTACAACCTGGAAAGAAAGTACGACGACCACTGCAAACAGATATTTCAAAAGTTAACGTTAATATTATTACTACCAATAATACTCAACATCAAAAACCACCATCATCAGAAAAATCTAAAAAAAGACCATCAAAACCACTAAATGGACAACACCACCCCGTTAAACCTCAACCAAAGGATCACATAAAACAAAAACCGTTAAAAGTACAAAAAAAACCTATCGAGTCTCATCATCCACAAAAAACTATAAAACAAAAAACACCCAAAGTACAAAATCATATCGAGTCTCATCATCCACAAAAAACTATAAAACAAAAAACACCCAAAGTACAAAATCATATCGAGTCTCATCATCCACAAAAAACCATAAAACAAAAATCACCCAAAGTACAAAAACATATCGAGTCTCAACATCCACAAAAACAAAAACCACAAAAATTACAAGAACATCAACAAAAGAAACAACCGCAACCACAACAACAAAAGCAAAAGGCACCACAACAACACCCTCAATCAAAGAAACAACTACAACCACAAAAGCATCCACAATCACAAAAACTAAAATCACAATCACAACCAACACAAAAGCAAAAGAGACCACAACAACCAGCATTGAATAATCATAGTTCGAAAAAAGTCCAACAAAAAATTAAACAACCACAGCAACAACAAATTCGACCAAAACAAGTCACACGAAATCAAGTACAAAGAAATCAAGTACAAAGACATCAGCCACAAAATGGTGATAATAAATCATCAGTAGTAAATTTTAATAGTACTGAAGATGTTGAATATGAAGAATACCAAGAATATGAAGAATACGAAGAATACGAAGAATATCAAGAAAATGAAGAATTTGGTGTAAAAAATTTCGATGAAGAAGATGTTGAAGATGATGACGATAATGAAGATGAAGATGAAGATGAAGATGAAGATGAAGATGAAGATGATGATGATGATGATGATGTGGATGATGATGATGATGATGTGGATGATGATGTGGATGTGGATGATGTGGATGATGATGTGGATGTGGATGATGATGTAGATGATGAAGATGATGATGTAGATGTTGATGTAGATGTTGATGTAGATGTTGAAGATGATATAGACGACGTTGATGACGATGAAGATGACGATGTAGATGATGTAGATGAGGATGTAGATGATGAAGATGACAATGAAGATGATGTAGATGACGATGATGTAGATGACGATGAAGATGATGAAGATGACGATGTAGATGATGTAGATGATGTAGATGATGATGATGATGTAGATGATGATGATGATGTAGATGATGATGACGGTGTAGATGACGATGTAGATGATGAAAATGATGATACTGGGTGTTAATAATTATGATTTCGGTGGAGATTTAATCTTTTATTCTATCTCATTTTTGTTTTTTAACAAGTAATATTTTATTGATTATTATTTTATTATTTACTTTTACTATTTATTTATATATGTATTACTGTTATTTTATATTAAAAATATAATAAATGTGGTAATAAGGCATTAAAAAAAAATAGATATTAAAAAATATTGAATGGCAATATTAAAAAGATACTTGGATTTGTTGTACGTGAAAATGAAATTATGTGAATTCGCAATTCACATATGTGAAATTCAAATTTACATGTGTGAAATTCAAATTAGCCAATCAGAATTTCACCCCACTCCATAATATTTCAATTTCACATAATTTCAATTTCACATACAACAGATTTAACAATTTTCTCCGATTTTTTATCTCTCAATTCAATACTAATAACACCAAGTATTCTTGTTCCTAATAGTTCACCACGATTATTTCTAAGTACACAGGCATTATCGTCGAATATTTTATAACGACCATCAGGTCTTCTTGTTCACCTTCTTGCCTGAACAATAAGAGCTTTTACGTACTTCACTATTTTCCTGCTGGTGTATTTGCAGCAGCAGAACTTATTGCCATCTGAGAAGTTACTTGTGGAAAATAGAGTTTGCCTTCCGAAACTCATGAATTTAGATTAAAACTATTCTAAGCTGGTTTAGAAAATGAGCCTGAATTCTTAAACTGTTCGAAACTCCTAAACTGTTTCGAAATTCGTAAAATCCCAAACCAAACAAATCTTCTTAATCTTTATTTTTATTTTTTGCTTATTATTATTATCACTCGCTATTAATAAAGTTTTTTTTTAAAAAAAAATAATCTTTTACATAATTTGGTGAAGGTGAAATTTCAGGAATTGCACCAAAAATCAAATACTTCTAGATACACCACAAGTCACAAAAGCCTTTAAAATTGAATGATGCATTTTCTAAATATTCACTTACACCATCTCTTTCTGCAACAATATACATATATCTTTTTTGATATATTCACATTCATGCGCTAAATGGGCTTGCAGTTTATTAACAATTCCATTACTCCATCCACAATTACATGCTTTGCATTTGGCTCCAAAATGACCTGGATGTTTTGAAGGATAACACTCAAAATGTTGCCAAACTGCATTTTTTGATCGCTCGCCATGTTTTTTTCTATTTACTGTATATCTACATCAGTATTATATTGCGATTGAAAAAAATTATATTAGAACCAAATAAGAATTATCATATTTTTATTGATTTGAACTAAACCAATGATTTAATTAATCAAAATAAAAGGAGCTTTTGATAAAAATGTTGGTCACTTGAAGAGAAAATGATCTCTCTCGATAATCATGGTACTGTAAAATGGATCACGGAAAATTATGAATATGAAAGTTGCACGAAAAGAAAACTGATCAAACCCATCCAATTTCATATTGTTACTTAATCACTGTAATAACCAATAAAATAATTAAAGTATATACTAGTTAAATATAGAGAAGATAACAATTAATTAAAAATCTGTAACAAGCTTTTAAAGTTAAGAGTGATGGAGTAAATAATAAAACGGGCAGTCACATGCACGAATTTATGTAAAGCAGGGGCAATCAGTAATCATCAATTAATATTAATATTAAATAATTTACCAACTTTTTTTTTTTAGTAGCAAAAATTACGGAAAAGACTGCATTTAACAAATCATTATAATTCCTAGTCTATTTTGTATTTTTTTTATTAGCATTAGTTCATTTTTTTTTTTGATAACAGTTCCCGAGGTATCGATTATGAAAAAAGATCGTTTCATTAATTAGCATTAACATGATCAGCAAAGCCATTTTTAATGTCTACAAATTTTAATTAACAAATAACACAAAAATAATATACTGTATATAGACTTTAATAATCGGTTAACTATTGACAATTTGCTACAATTTTTTAAGCCAAGACAGATTAAACAGACGCATTTACTCAAAAGATAAAGTTATTTAAAATTTTTTTTTTACTTTTCTGTCCATATTTAAAATTATAATCGGATACTAATAGAATTTCGCGTTTGACCATGTGGCGCAGCAATGTCACAACGGATTTTTGCTTCGCATATTAGTATTAGTATTAGTATTAGTATAAAATCCGTTGTGGCAAGAATTTTCTTATAATTATGTGTCCCGTTCATTTGTTGTGACAAGGTTTGACTATATAATGTGCGCTTGAATTTAATCAACTGTAAAAAACACTATGCTGTTTGTACCAGCAACTTATATGCGGGAAAAGTACAAAGCATGCTAATACCAATATTAATATTAATATGGAAAACCATGTTTGTACGTAATTTTACATATTAAAATTTTTTTATTTTTTACTTGGTTTTAACCAACTAATATTGGAAGCAACTTTCTTTTTAAAAATACAGTTTCAATAATTCATTCATTATCTTTAAATCAGGAGGAGCAAAAGGTTAAAGAGATGGGATTGAATTGGGATGAAAATAAATTATAGAATACTTTTTACAAAAAGTTGCCTTAGGACAAGTCGGTCGATTTTTAAATTATTCAAAGAAAAAATTTTATTATGATTTTTTTAGCAATTGATAATTGATGACAATTAAGTTTAGTTTTTTAAGAAAAGAAAAATATAAACAATCAAGATTATGATTAATTCTAATTCTAATAATTCTAAATTCTTCTATTTGGTTTCTAATATTTACATCTCTTGGTAGAGGCTTGTTTGATGTTATTATTATAGTTAGATTGGTGTCGTTTTCGACCTGTCAATCCTTGATTTTGTAAGCTTTTATGATGATGATAACGTTGTTGTTGAATTGGTATTTGAGTTTGTACAATTGGTTGTTGTGCTTCTTGTTGTTGTTGAATTGATAGTGATGAAAATTGTAAAGAAGAATTGGGAGTGAAATTTTGTAAATTATTCACAAATGCAGGTTGAACATGATGATGACTATTATTATATTGTGCTTGTGGATTAATTTGTGGTAGTGGCGAAACAGTTTGTAGGTTAATTTGTGGCGGTGGCGGCTGCGGTAAAACAATTTGATATTGATTCGGGTGATATTGATATTGTGATGGATATGCTATTTGTTGTGATGGTAGTGGTGCTGGTAATATAAACCCTGGTGTGTTATTATTATTATTGGGTGGCATCTGAACATTATTACTATAGGGACCTGGCAAATTTTGAAGCTGTGACAAATTTTGTTGTGGAAATAATGTTTCAAGAAGATTTTTTGTCTTTACATCTGTCAATAAGTTATTTAATAGTCCATCTACTTGATTATTAAGTGTTGGATTTATTGGTAGGTCGTTTAATGTATGAGAAGTTTGTGTCTGTGATTGTGGTTGGAGATGTGGTTGTTGTGTTGTAATGGAATTGTTAGAAGCATATTCATTATGTTTTGGATTAATCTTTTTATTTTCTTTGTTGGATTCTGGTTTACTACCACCAGATTTATGATCTGATTGTTCTTTTTTATTTAATCTGTTACTACCACCATTAACAACATCACGTCGTCGCTTCGATTTACTAGATTCAGCATCTGCTATCACAATAGCACCTAACAACAGTTTTGAATCACGTTTCTTATCAGATTCTGGGTCGAGTATTTTACCATCATAATCCAAAAATGTCACAACTTCAGGTACTTTATCATCAACTTCTAATGGAATAAAATATATTTCTCTGACATTGCTATAAACATTTTCTACATGACCATAACGAATACAATTATCTTTTGGTGAGTATCGTAGATGATTAAAAATAACATCAAGTCGTTTTCTATTCAAACAACCTTCATCATCACCAGCAACATTACCATCAACAACTTTATCATCAACAACTTTATCATCAATTTCAAATTTAACAAAAACAACATCTTTCAATGGTGAACACCAACAATCAATCAAATAATTATCAGCCTGTTCAATATTTGACACGTGTCCATCAATTCTAATTGATGGAGAGGTAAGGTATTCGTTCCAATTTCTAAGCTTGTCTCTTTTTTTGGCAGCGACAAGACTTGCCTTCCCCATAAGTTTTCCTACGCTATCATATAATATTTCCCCTTTCCAAACCGTTGTCGTTGATTTATTGTTGTTCTCGTTAATATTATTGCATTTATTGTTGACATTGTTATTGTTAGCGATAGTAGTAGGTGATTGTCGTGGGCTTATGGAAGGACTTCCAATAGATGATAAAGAAGGTGACAAAGCACCAGGAGAATATGCAGGTGAATCAATTACATTATTATCATCATCATTTTTATTATTATTATTATTATTGTTATTATTATCATTTTGAGGATTTGTTGAATTTTTATTAATAACATCAGTTGATTGTAATTTAATACAATCATTATTATTATTACTATTAGGCAAAGAAAAAGAATTGAAAGGATCAGATTTTTTTTTTTGCAATTTATAAAATCCATTTAGTTTTTCCTCATTGTGTATTTCATTCTCTAAATGATTTTTTACTTCACCGCCAGATTTTGGACATTCCTTGATATGGTATCAATCAAATTATTGAGTTAATATAAATATATAATAATATAATATAATCTTTTTAAAATAAATTAAATAAATTAAAATTCTTACATCTTTAATATTAAAAGATTAGGTTTATTTATATATTTTATAAAGAAAAAAAACAAGAATATACATTAGTAATTTTGATTATTTCTTCTCTCCACCCCATGAATAAATAACAATGTTGATTGATAAAGTGTACTCCTTAACACAAAATCCAAGCATATGCTAAACATACCTTTTAATGAGCATTTAGGACAAATGTAACATTTTATTTCTTTCGCTTGTTGTTCATTATGATTTATACAATTTATATGATACCTGAAATAATTGCATAAATAAATATATAAATATAAAAATACAAAAAACATTATATATTTTATCATATCATTTAAAAAAAAAAATTTACCAATCTTTACAGAGATAACAATTAATCATTGCACAGCAATGATCATATCTATTACAGACACAACAAGAAGTTTTCTTTTCCTTCCGTAACAGTTCAGTATTTAGTTGTGAATTGGTTAAAAGAAAAGAATCTATTATAAATTGTCGAGTGTTATTATCTACAGCATTATTAATGCTTGTTAGTATCGAATGTTCGCTTTTATCGTTAACAGAGTCAAGAGGCTTAATAAAATCACACTGTTTGTTCATTTTTTTTTTATGAAATTTTATTCTATTCAAGATGTTTTTAAAATATTTTTTGAAAGAGAATAATTATTTTTATTTGTTGATCAAGGAGGTGTGTATCATATTAATATATAAAAAATATGCAACAATAATAATTGTAATTCTTTATTCCGTTAATTATTATTATTATTATTATTACTTATTATTACGTATTATTTATTTTTGGGAATATTTGGAATAATCAATTATATTAAACAAGAACATTGGAACAAAGCTTACAGTACTTTTAATAATATGCAATATAAATATAATACATCCGAAAATTTATCTAAACTTGGATTTTCTTTGAATGATCTTTTCTTTTAACAACTTTCCCTGGTTCTAAAGGTGTTCCATTCATAAGTTTTTTTTTTAAATAAATAAATAATAATTATATATATAAATAATGAATGATGTTTTATGCGAAAATATACATGTTGTCAAAACCCCCAGACTTTCGAGCCTAGCTCCAGTTTTGGGTTTCGGCCAGTTTCGGGTTGGAAGGGTTCCTATTCGAAACTGAAACTCTATTACTATCCGAAACTCGAAGCTCTGACTGAAATCTAGGACCTTAGCCGAAACCTTTACACAAGAGCCAAAACTGTTAAAAGTTCCAAATGTAAACCACAAACTAATGGAATTAATTATGTTGGATTTTCCGAAATAGCTTGGCAAGAATTTTTTTTTTTTTTTGTAAATAACCGTTGGTGAAAGGGAAAAATTAATTCCACGGCATAATAATGATGATTTTGATATCGAAAAGAGAAATTTATAGTAAAATTTAAATTTAGTTTATATTTAGTTTAAAATTTTTTGTATATTCGCTCGTTTTATTCGAACTGTTTGTGTTATTCGAATTATTCGAGTTTTATTCGTTTTATTTGAATAGACTTTAATGTAATTCGAGCACTCTAATTTATAATAATAATAACGAATGAATCAAATAATTCGGATAAACTTATTCGGATAGAAATCCTAATACAAGTTCTATTACTATATACAAAAGGTTTCGGCCAAGGATTTCAAATTTGACAGGGGGTTTCAAATTTTGGCAAAAGGTCTCGGGTTCGGCATTGGTTTCGGACTTTCGGATTCGGCTTTATTAATATCCTTAAGAGGTTCTCGGCCACATATATTAATATGTGCGAAAATATAGCTTGCGGGAAAGCTTGGCAACTGGTATCTGAACGTAAATCTGCTGTAAAATTTCAAATTAGTTATAATAAATATCTACTAGTGAAACAAATATGAATTTTTTTTTCGTTCAACTTACTAATCCTAATACATAGTGTATCTCGATTTAGCGGATTTGGGGGTTTAACGGATAAATTTTCAAAACAAAATCTTTCTATAATTATTTTATCTCGATTTAACGGATTTAACGGATTTTTCATATATATTCGATTTAGCGGGGATTTTTTTAAATCTATATGTTCGAGCATAATAAAAATATCTCGATATATACAACGGATAATGTCGATCATTAACTAATACAGGCACCAAACGTAATTAAATTAGAGAAACTGGATAATCTTTACCTTTACTAATTATTTTAAACGTTTTTTACTCGATATAAAAAAAAAGATTATTGGGAAAAGTGAGATTCTCAAATTTTTTGAAAATACTAATACTTATCATCACCAGAATAGTTAACGATGATCGGCAAATTTCACTACTTGAGTCACGTATCACGAATTAAGCAAGTTCTTTGTGAATAACTAATTATTTCTTCTATTATTAGTATTTTTTTTTTTAAAAAAAAAACCATTTAGCATTGTGGAATAAATAAAAATATATGTATAATCATTTCATATAATACTTTTATTTGTAGCATAGATATCATCACTACATTTCTTATTTTTTTCTTCATCTAATATTAATATTAAGTTTATTTGATGTCTACTACTATTATACAGTATATCAATATTATAAATGTAATAATGTTCATTGAAATATGAACAATACAATACTTGTGTTTGCAACCTTTGTTGTTTTGACTTTCATTAATTTTCATGTGTCAAACCTTTGTAATTATTATCACCCATCTCCAGAATCTTCTGATTATAATCATCATAACCTTTTTCTGGATCATAATAATCTTCCAAACCATCATCGTTTTTTCTCCCCTTTCATCATTAGTTTTCTCTTCATCTTCTAAAATAATTTTCTGTTAATTTTAAACAAAACATTGATATAAATAAATTATGAAAATATATCAATTGAAATCACAATATCATTATTCATAGTAGTGACAGCATTTGTTGTATTTAATTTTAATTTTCTCAATTCTTTTTTTTTTACCAAATTGTTATAGATTCCTTAGATATTAGAAAGAAATTTAATCAAATTATTTTAGAGCATAAAATAATAAATAAATATTTATATATTTTTACTCTTGTTATTAAGGATTTGTTGAATCATGACTATCAACACAAAATCATTTTCAGTTAAAGGAAATTTTTCATCATTGCAATAGTGCTGTTTAAACTACGAAATCAATGTTTTGTGAAACCAAATGTTGTTCATAATAAGTTGCAAATAATTTAAAACTATCTACTCTTTAATGCAAGACAATATTATTTTTGGTCAAGATCTTTGAATTTAGTTGTTTGAAAATCTATGCCTTCTCTTTTCAAATATTTAGACATTTGATTCTGTAAAAGAATGTCAATAATATAAGTAGGTTTCATTTAAATTAATACTATAAAGTATTATTAAAGATGCCTTATAAGTTCTTAAATCCTTTTCTGGTATTCCTAGTACTTTTTGACAAACTTATATGTTTTGCACCTTCAGGTTTTGGTACGATATTACTCTAATAAAAAAAGTACAAGAGTTTTGAATTAACTTTACATTAAAAGTATTTTAATTCAATACTTCACATTAAAATCCAGGCTTTCTTCATCACTCTTAGGAGATTATCCAAGTTTTTCAATGAGTTTTTTAAAAATAATATGTTCCAATATCAAATATTTTTCTCTCTTCTCTTCCTTAAATCATTTAAAAGACTAGTAGTCATTATGGTAATAAAAAATTAGTATGTATATAATGGTAAAATGTTGAATGTAAACAAACATAAAATAAATTTGTTTATTTTTGTCATTAAATTTTTTATCATTAAAAAAAAAAATTTTTGTCACAGTTATTGTGATTCACTAACTATACTAATTTTGAATAATTGTAGTGTATATACTCTCATGTGGACATGGTTATCACAATCATTGTCTACAAATGTGCCAATCTAAATGTTTGATATGTTTGGACTATCTTCAAGTTGAAATCAAAAAAAATGTCAATGCACTAAAGAAAGTATGATGAAAAGATTAAACAAAAATGAATTTATCGAAAATAATGAAAATGCAGTTGATGATGATTAGGGTAATGTTGAATCAGCAACAGATGATGCAGCAATGATGGAAATTTTATTAGAAAATGCAAAAAAACATTTTTTGAGTTGTAAATTTTGTTTTTGTTTTTTCATACATCATTCATGTTTTGTCTTAATAATATATCTTAAATTGGTTGCATTTACATTTCATTGACATTCATTATGTTAAGGTTATTTTGATTATATCAAGAGTTATGGTCAAGAGAAGAGAGTTATTCTTGGTGTTGAAATTTCGTTAACTAGTGCAAATTTAGAAACTACCTCTAAAAATTAAAATTTTGATTGGTGTGTAATGTTACACCTGGACATTCCAGACATTGAATTTTCTAAACTAACACTTTAATTGACGATCCTTTTGTGAACGGCAGTAAAATACTATATGATTTTAGGGAAGAAATTCGCAGATCTATTATGATACAATTTCT